AGATGACGAAGAGAAGAGGTAAGAGAAGAAGTCGAATCAATCACCCTTCTCCTCTAACCCTATTTTATTAATCTCTAAAAAATTGATGATGACAAGTATACCCTTAAGTGGGCGGCCAGCTTGGCAGTTACATAAAAAAAATAAAATAAGAACAAATAACAGGCCCATTAAATGAGGCCCATCAACATAAAATAAAAGATAAAATAAAGGATATCACACGAAAGGCTGTTAGGGCCCATTCGGCCCAGTCTCTTTACAATAAGAATGAAGGATGATATCTGGGAAGTGGATAGTGGACAGTGGACAGTGGACGTGGAGTGGCTGGAACTGAATGCAGAAGGGTTGTCAGGAGGTCTGGTGATTTTGTGGGATCCAGGGCTGTACAGGAAAGTAGGTGAAAGGGTAGGAATGTTTTTGGTTTTAGTCTGTTTTCAGGAGATGAATGGGGAGTAGTGCTGGGGCTTGACAAATGTGTATGGATCCAATGTATTGAGTCTCGTTGCATCAGTTGGAAATCTAGTGCCAGATTGGATTTGAGTCCTTCCAGTTTTTGCTCAAATTGATAGGGCAGATTTTGGGGAAAACTTTTGGGATGTGCTTGAAATTCAAGCCTGTAATGCTGAAAATTTTCTTGTTGATTAGAGATTTAGAGTACTATTGGCATGTCACCTTTAGGGGTGCAACTCGGGTTGGCATGAGTTAAGCTTCGAGCTTGGGTCAAGGCAATTCAAGTTTTGACAAAATCCCAACCCTAACCCACCCAAGTTGTACCCCTAATCACCTTGACACCCACCTAGATTGTAAACACTACCTACCTGTTTAGGTACTATTGGCATGTCACCTTCTTTATCTTTTAATAATCTTTTATCTTTATTCTTCAAACAACAGCTTTGTTTAGGTATATCCATATCCTATCATTTCTCTTGTGGCGACCCGTGCTTCATAAGGGTTTTGACATTGATTACAGTATCTTGTTATGACGTCTTATTGCAATATGGAACTCCTACTTTCCTCTTTTTGTTCATTTAGAAGCATAGACTTTTTACGTGTATATTCACCTTGACTGTCATGTAAAATCCTGGCAACATGGTAAACACTACCTACCTGTCTTTCTCGTCAGCTCAATATTATTTTTTTCTTCTCCTCGGTTCCTCATTTAATTAGTTTTGACATGAAAGGCAATACAAGCATCCAAAAAGGTGTTATTTACTAACCTGGAACAGATGATCTAATAATAAATAGTTAATTTTTAAGTTGTGAACTGTTTTTAGGTGGGAAATTAGTTGCTTTCCAGTCCTCTATTTCGTTCTGACAAGAAAAATTTTTTTCTATTTGGTAAAGACATTCCAATTGTGTTGATTTGTGCAAGTCGAAGCTGTTTAAACACATGTGCCTTGAACTAGTCACACAGTTGACCTGCACCAACGCCCCCTTTTCCCTACATGAGCACTTCCATTACCTCTTCTGAGTGTAATGGTGTGTGCAAGGATTGACTCAACTTTAGGCCCCATTTGGTTCGCGGGAATAGGGGTCTGGAATTAGAATCGGAATGCGCTATTCTGATTCCAACTGTTTGGTTGGGTGGAATCGGAATCCCATTTCCATTCCTGCTGGAATGGCATTCCCCTATTTGAAGGAATGGCCCCCCTCCTTTGGTAATGAAACAAACAGATTATGGGAATGGACCATTCCGATTCCGATTCCAATTGTAAACCAAACGGATCCTTAGATGAGTGAAAAATGAGAGCTACCTTCTGATATGGTGCATCTTCTGTTATACAGGAACCATCGTGGTCTGAGGCACTACTGGGGTCTCCGTGTTCGTGGTCAGCACACCAAGACCACAGGACGCAGAGGAAAGACTGTTGGTGTTTCCAAGAAGCGTTGAGTTATTCTTCTTCTCGTATATTTAAAGGTAAACTACTATCTAGTCGACAGGAGAGATTCTTTGTGTTTGCGTCTTTTGAGATGTTACTTCCCCTATTTCAGAAGTAGAGTAGTGGCTAGATTTACTCGTATGTGTTTGATTAATTAGTATAGTTTTTCTTTTAAATGAATATTATTTGGCATCTTTTCTTAGTCAAACATTTTTATATATGGGTGTTTTTCTTTTCTTAATTTTGTCTTGATGTCCAAACCTTTGATGTCTTTGAATCTGGGTCATTCAATTTCTTTTTTCGTCTTGCTTTTTTTTATTCCATTTTCGTTCTGAACAAATATAGAGGCGGATTTACTAAAATGCAGTGCCAACTCTTCAAAATTACGAATCCTCGTTTTAAATGCCTCTATGTTACAAATGGCCCTACCATTAGGCCGTCCAAAGGACATTCTATTTGTATTTTTTCAATTTACACAACTTATAATCCGTTATTTGTTTTTTTCTTTTGTTTTTAATTCCAGTAGGGCAATCTACTATCATTTCTAGCCTGCCAAGTGGCCCATAATCAGTGATTTCAGTCCATCCATTCAACCAGACATCAAGTCTGGTATTAGATTGATGCTCTAATTTTAGATTAAGGGTGATGGCAAACCATGTATAGCGTGCATGATCAAACCAAAAGAGCATGAGTGATATATTGATATCTATATTACTTTCAACAAATTTGACAGAAACAAGCTCCAACAATCTTTCTTTTGAAAAAGTTTATTAGTATCAGAAAGAGTATTATGAAGGCAATAGTATGAGATGCATCTGGATATGCTTTTGATATGCATACAAATGTTAGGGATATTCAAAATAAATCCTAAAAATATTTAAATTATAATAAATCTGAATTTTCAATGACTAAATAAGGCATAAGTGCATATAAAAACATGTATTAATAGTTTTTATGAAGTGTGAAGTACTGGGACCTACTTAAATTGTAATCTTTTAAACAATGTTTTCAAACTGCCGTTGACCTGAATGGTCAGACTGTTCAGCCCAGAAACCTTCCAGGCCAACTGGTTCTGTTTTTTCCCAGACCTGATCTTTGGCCAAAAACTATTGAATTGGTCAAATGATCTATTGACCCAGCGGTTGACCTGTTCAATAGTTTTGGCTATTTTTTATTTTAGTTATTTTTATTTTTTCGTAGGAATAAGCTGTTTGTTCGAGCTGAATAATTGAGCCATCAACCAGGAAACCGGTGCCCAGAATGATTTCAATTCCAAGTTTTTTTAAAAAAATATGCAAGGTTCACACCTTGGTATCTACCTAAAAAAAGGTTCAATTGTTCAAACATTGGTAACTGAAAATGAATTTTATGTACTTCAACAGGATTAAATTGAAATGCATGATGTAATTAGCAAATCAATCTTGCTATTTTAACAAGTTGCCAATGGGGTGGTATCTACCAAAAACTAAAATAGTGGTTTGGACTTTGGTGGTAGAATAATTACCTGGCAAATGGGTGATCTAGGTACAATACCTACCAACGGCACTTTTCGGATTGTGATGTTGGAAAGACGTGATACCATAAAAACTTATAACCAATCAACACGGTAACCAAATTTTATTGGTCAAAGCATTTTTGGCATCATAATTTTCTTTTCCTTTTTATTGGAGTGATTTTAATAACTCCATCTCCTACCCACTTACTCTTCTCACATGCCACATCCCTACCCATAAGACACTTTACCAATGTGTGCTTGTAGGTGTCCCTTGAAGTAGAGGTGTAAATTGGGCTGTGCTGAGTTGGCACAGCATGGCCTACGTGTGGGTCGGGCTGTGCTTTCTTCCTTTGGGATATCTTGGGGGTTGACTCGGTACGGCCCGTGGCCTGATCCCATGCGAATCCATGTTTTGTTGTGGGTCGGGCAGGTCCACGTGAACCCATACTCGGCATAGCCCGTAGTCCATTGTGTCGGATTGCGAATGATACGACCCAATTTACATCTCTACCTTAAAATTTCTAACCTGATTTGGTAATTGCAATCACCTCCTATGATTTTTCTAACACAGTTGCAATTTAGAATCCTCTAGCAAGAGACATTAAAATGTCCAAAATATCCATGCAGCCTTTTGACCAAAATGTTTATTTTTCAAAATTTCTCTTCCTGTCAATCGCTACCAAAACCCTTCCCATCTATTTTCTGAAATTGATAATTTGATTTATTTTCTAAATCTTCCCTTAATATCAATCTCAAAGGTAGAGCTGCAATTAAAAACTCTTTTTTAAGGAAAATTTTATTAAACTACCCTTATGGTTTAGCAAATTGACTAACTTACCTTTACTGCTTACATATTATCTTAAATTACCCCTTACTATTTCTGACAATTGTCTAAAACTACCCCTACCGTTAACTCTCCATCATAAACCATTCACATGTGACATCACGTAACTAATATATTTTTCATAAATCCTTAAAAATACCCTTTTATCAGGGCAACAAGACAGAGAACTAAATAGTAATGCCTCCATTGATGAGCTAAATCACTAAATGGATGTGCAGAAGAATTGCATGCATTGATGAGAATCAGAGAATCTGATCAATGCGTCCAATGCATGATATTTTAGGATTTAGCTTAACAAAATTAATTTTATGTCTGTGTTAATGGCATGTAGTCATGGTGGCTTGGTCGATCATGCTTATAGATGTTTTGTTTGAATGAGTCGAGTATATAGTCTTCAACCCAGGTGAAGGAATGGGATATCTATCTCATGGACGCCCAAGTCTTGCAGAATGGACTGGGCGAATTTTAAAAAAATTTCTCCCATCTTTGCAAGGAATCAAATTCCCTATTTTAGAAAACATATTTTCAATGATCAATCTTGAACTATGAACCAAACCAAATCTGAACCAAAAGGAATAGGAGGGAGGATGTACCTGATACGGAGAAACAGTATCTCCCAATGGAGGTGCTCACGCCCAAGGAAGGATCCAAAATCTGCTCCCACTGAATATGGCGCAGTGCAGGATGGAGCAGAATCAACAATGTTCTTCCAAAAGAACTTGACC